CACACACACACACACACACACACCCACACACACACACACACACACACACACACACACACATACAGTACATGTTGGTATTGGTGGTTTACGGGGACTCTCCATAGGCATAATGGTTTTTATACTGTACAAACTGTATTTTCTATCGCCCTACACCTAACCCTACCCCTCACAGAAAACTTTCTGCATTTTTAGATAAAAAAAAAAAAACACTATTTAGTATGGTTTTTTAAGTCTTTTGAATTACAGGGACACAGGAAGTGTCCTCATAAACCACCTTCATATTGTAATACCTCTGTCATACCCATGACATTATACAAATTTGTGTCCTCATAAACCACCCAATAAAAGGCTCACAGACACACACACACACACACACACACACATCTCCCGAAGAACTGAAGAAAACACTGCAGTTAAACCGCATTGAGTCAAATGCTGTTTACGGAACAGTTCCGACAATGAAAGATCTGTCACCAATCATTCACCCTCAAGTCATTTCTAATCTGCTTTTCCTACTGTGAAAAACAAGCCAAAACAAAATTTGTTTTATCAAAAAGAAAATATATGGACTCAAAAACTGACAAGGAACTTTCACCAGTCTACATTTAAACTGCATTGCTTCAAGTCAAATACTGATTTTAAAAATGTAATTTCATTGAAAAAAAATAATAATAATACAATTTCAATTGTATCCCCTCGCCCTATATATTTGAGTTTCCTGCTTTTTTATAATGCTGTTGTGCACTGTTGCACCAGCGATACGAGCCAAACTAAACATCTCTAAGCTGTTATTTATGCCGAAATGCATGAAAAACAGGCAACAAACATTGCATGCATGGTTTTATGGAGTATGGCATTGATCCAAACCTAGCTGGGAGTCGCTTTGGACAGAAAAATTGGGAAGGTCTTTGTGACAAAGCTGCTGTATAATGAATCCACCCTACTATGCAGAGAGAGTGCTTGCACTCAAGAATCCAGCAGCTTCTGTCATTCTGTCAATCTCACACTATCTGCAGATGTTTGCAGGTTTCTTCTGTGATGAGAATTCATCCTGGGATCCTCTAGGGCCCAATCCCAATTCCATTTTATACCCCTCCGCCTACCCCTTCCCCTTGTCTCTCGAAACAGAGTGTCAAGGGGTAGGGGTGAAAATATTCTCCTCTACATTTAAACTGCATTGCTTCAAGTTAAATACTGATTTTAAAAATGTAATTTCATTGAAAAAAAAATAATAATAATACAATTTCAATTGTATCCCCTCGCCCTATATATTTGAGTTTCCTGCTTTTTTATAATGCTGTTGTGCACTGTTGCACCAGCGATACGAGCCAAACTAAACATCTCTAAGCTGTTATTTATGCCGAAATGCATGAAAAACAGGCAACAAACATTGCATGCATGGTTTTATGGAGTATGGCATTGATCCAAACCTAGCTGGGAGTCGCTTTGGACAGAAAAAGTGGGAAGGTCTTTGTGACAAAGCTGCTGTATAATGAATCCACCCTACTATGCAGAGAGAGTGCTTGCACTCAAGAATTCAGCAGCTTCTGTCATTCTGTCAATCTCACACTATCTGCAGATGTTTGCAGGCTTCTTCTGTGATGAGAATTCATCCTGGGATCCATCCCAATCCCAATTCCATTTTATACCCCTCCGCCTACCCCTTCCCCTTGTCTCTCGAAACAGAGTGTCAAGGGGTAGGGGTGAAAATATTCTCCTAAGAATTGGGACACCAC